AAGTGCCTTTAACCAGTGAGTCATCTCTCCAGCCCCCACAAGGCTTTTCATACCAGCCTATATTAATTAATCTACATAAGAATAGATTTCATTTTCTTTTTTCATTTAAGTGCATGCCAGCACTTAGGGCACATGTGTATCATTAAGCTTAAGTATATTAGTTAGGACAACTTGTGGAGTGGGTTTTCTCTCCTTCCATGTGAGTCTCGGGGATTGAACAGTTACAAATGCCTCTACAGATTGAGTCTTCTTGTTGGCCTCACTTCTACCCCCTACCTTCCTCTTTTTTTTTTTTTTTTTTTTTTTTTTTTTTTTGAGACAGGATCTCAAGTAGCACAGACTGGCCTTGAACTTGAATGTGCCACCATGGCTGTTTCTGTAGTGCTAGGGGTTGAATCCATAGCCTCAAGTGTGCTAGAGCATGTCAGGCAATTACAGTAACAGCTGAGCTACAACCCCAGCCCCTAACAGGACATTTCCATGCATATATGTGTAATGTATTGTCATCATATTCACATACCCATTACTAATTCTTGGGTCCTTTTTTTTTTTTTTTTTTTTTGACATCAATTTTGAAATTCTAATTGTAGGTGAATTTGACAAACAAGATGATGACATTCACTTAGTGACATTATGTGTGACGGGTGAGTTCTGCTGCTTTCATCCAGACAGGGGTGTAAGGGTTCAGGAAGGTTCTATCTATCCCCTTACAACAGCTACCATCAGGATAGGAACTGTAGGAGACACTCCAAAGAGACTGTCCTCTCTGGATGACTGGTTCCCACTACTCCTTTTCACGAGGTAGCCTTCTCAACACCAGGTCCTACCCAGCTAATGATGTTCATGCTGCCCTGCGAAGGCCCAGCTGCCTGCTTCCTAGGCTGTCAGAGGCCCCTCTGTGCTCTTGGGAGGGGAGCGTGCTGGGGAGCTGCCCTAGTGTGGCAAAGCTGCCAAGGCAGGACCTACTAGCGGCCCACCTGTGGCTCTGTTTTGAGTTTTTAGAACTGTTTAGTGTTTCTACTTTCATTTCTTAGAATTAAATGACCGGGAAGAAAATGAAAACCACTTTCCAATCATTTATGGCATCGGTAAGTAGTGTTTGTATTAGAGGGAGGGCTACGTGGTGGTTTCCATGTGGGTTAAAGCGGGCAGTCATGCCATCTGTACTACTGTTGGTGGGTTTGGAGCCTTGTTCCTATATATTTGCTATGAAATCCTGGGCAAGGGGCCTGACTTGACTACCCCTTAGCTGTGAGGTTGTTAATGCCCTAACCGTAATGAATGGAGAGAAGCAGCCAGTGTACAGCATAGGTTATGCCCACACCACACCTACTTCTGCAGCTTAGTGTCTGCATGTATTTCTGTAGCCAGTGCTCATGGGGAAGGTATGAGGTATTTGGATCTCTGTATTCTATAGGGATAACATTTGGTTTTAATTCCAAATGAAGATCCCACAAACCCAAGTGCGGAACTGTCAAACTAAAGGAGGCCCAGGTGTTCCTCTCTCCAGTCTTGAGGCTAGCAAATTGCAGACTTTTGGTGTGTCTATGATGTTTAGCTAGCTGGGTGGTTGAGGACACAGGCATGTCCTACTTTCTATTTTCTGTCACTCTGCATAGCTCTAGAAATAAGCTGTAAGTCCACCAGCCTTACACCAGCATTTGTGGTCCCAGGAAAGCATTGAAACCGCATGCCTTGAGGATACAGAGTACCTCTGGGGCTATTCTTCCTCCCGGGTTGCTACAGAGGCTGTCATCACCTCATTCTTTTTTTCCAATTCCGTTCTTTTGTTTCTGGTTCATATGTGTGGTGGTAGAAATGTGAAGTCTATTTTGGATCTTTGCCAATTTAGAGTCACTCCCCGTCCCTTCCAGCTGTCAACATTAAAACTGCAGAGATTTACAGAGCTTCCTTTCAAGATCGTGGTCCAGAGGAGCAGCTTCGTGCTGCCAGAGCTTTAGCAGGAGGCCCGGTGAGTGAGAGCTCATTGTTATGGGATGGGTAAAGAGGGAACCCCAAGAGCCTTGGGTTTTTAGAATGGATGAAATTTGTGGCTACCTCCTTACCGGAACCCAGCCCACTTCCTCATGGGTTAGAGGAAGAGTGAGTTTAGGTTCTAAGTGCCAGATACTAACTAGTTCTCTGCCTGAAAGATGGAGGAGGCATCCCATTTGAGAAACAGGTAGAATGTAAAATGCCCACTGTGAGCCTGGTATGGTGGCACATACTTTTCAGTCAAGCACTCAGGAGACAGGTGGATCCCCAGGCCAGCCTGAACCAAACAGGACCTGGGGAGACGGCTCAGTAGTGCTTGCTGTGTAAGTACGATCCCCAGTACCAACATAAGAAGCTGGGTGTGCTGGGCATGCTTCCAGGCCTGGTGCTAGGGAGACTGCTGAGTCTGTAGCTTCAGCTTTAGTGGAAGACCTGGTGTCGGGTCACAAAAGCAACGGAAGGCATGGGGAATGGACACCTGGTCTCACATGTGTGCCAGCACCCCACACCATGGCAAGCCCAGAAATCAGCTTGTTTGTACAACACTAACATTTCATTAAGATGATGTCTGCAGTGAAGAGGTCTGTTTTGCCAGTCTTTCGCCATTTTTAGGAGTCCTGATTTTATCTTTTAAAAAACTTTGTGTTTGACATGGTCTTGCTACGTATATAGCGTAGGGTGTCTTGGAACTTGTGGCAAGCCTCCTACATCAACCTCCATCAACTACCATAACCAGCTTTGTAGTTAGTGTTTTTCTTTTCTCTCTTGAGACAGAGGGTCACATTGCAGCCCAGGTTGGCCTGGAACTTACTTTAGGTTTCTTTTATTTAAGAATACATTTCAGACTGAGTACCCCCTCTCAAAGCTGAAAATTACTGCTAGCATAATTTGGGAATGCAAGGGATGGATCTGTTGCAAAATCCACTTCTACAGAGCCAGCTAGGTGGTGCACACATCCCTGTGACCCCACACTGGGAGGTACGGCAGAAAGATGGAGTCCAGACATTCTTGGCTATGTATTGAGTTCATGGCTAGCCTGGGCTACATGAGACCCTCTCAAAAACAAAACTAGGCATGGTGCTCTACACTTTTAAGGTAGGCAGATCTCTCAGCTTTTAAAGCCAGCCAGGTGTACCACAGCCAGACCCTGTCTCAAAATAAACAAAAAGAAAAAAAAAAAATCCAAACCTTTCTTTCATGTTTTTTGTGAGATAAGACCAGGATGTCTTGGAACCCCAAGTGACCTTTCTGCGTCAGTCTTCTGAGTGTTGGATGGCAGGTGTGAGCTGTCATACCTGGACATCAAGCATTGTGAGCTGTTTATGTTACATGATGACTAGCTGCTTGGAATGAGGAATGAGGAGATAAGGTATTTGTACTGCCATGAGGAATACAGGCTTTAGTCTGACCTGCCTGTCTTCGAGGGAGTGCTGATGCAGTGGATGTGTGACCTTCCCCTTAGAAGGTCAGCATGCTGTCTTCTTGTAGGCTAACTAACTAACTAAACACAGCAATACACAGGACCAAACACAGGGAAGGCATTCGGTGGTGGCAGCTTTGTTATTATGGGAGGTCAACATTCAAAGTTTATCAGCTAAGGGGATAGTCTTGAAACTAGACTACAGCAGTGGCAGGGCAGTGTCCTTACAGCCTGTCATGGAAATGGTTCTTTTAGATGATTAGCATTTATGATGCAAAGACAGAACAACTTCGAATAGGCCCGTATTCCTGGACGCCATTTCCACATGTGGATTTCTGGTTGCAGCAAGATGACAAGCAAATACTAGAGGTGAGAATTTACAGGTTGGCTAAATCTTAAATCTCTGGACCCTGGTTTCCCCATCTGTAAGAAAAAAAAAGGTTTAGACCAACTAATAGCTGCTTCTCCTTCAGTGGGTGTGATGGATGTTCTATTGCCATTGGTAGACTAACTTTTATGGTAGTGGGGGATTAGTAATGTCCTGGCAGATGTTTATACAGGTGAAGCAGTAAGCAAAGGAATGTGTGTAACTCAAAAGATGTACAGAAGCTCTGAGACTAGCCTGATAAACATGTATGTAGTCCAACCAAAACTACTCTGACATTGTCATCCAAGGAAGGGAGGCATATAGCCTGGCTCTCTCATGCCCACTGTCTTGTCTTTTTCAGAACCTTTCTACTTCTCCTCTGGCCGAGCCTCCCCACTTTGTTGAACATATTAGATCGACCTTGATGTTTTTAAAAAAATTCCCATCTCCAGCAAATATACTATTTCCTGGAAATAAAGCTCTCCTCTACAAAAAAAATGAAGATGGTTTATGGGAAAAGATCTCTTCAGGGAGCTAACATCAAAGTTAGCAAAGAACACAACTTTTTAGCCTGATAGAGGCCATTGGTGGTTTAGAATATACATCTGCACAGTTTTACTTCTTCCTTGCTTACTGTCTTTCAAAATAAAGTCTTATTTTGGCAAAGGTATTTGTTGAGATGATTTTTTTTGCTTCACTATAAAATAGACTTTTTACCAGTCTTGAGGGATGGAGGAGAAACCACTGGATTTACTGGTGAGTAGGCAGCGACTTCAGAGACAGGAAAACTCCCTATTCAAAAATTACTCTTAGAAACTTATCAGCCGGCCATAGTGGTACATGCCTTTAATCCTAGCACTCAGGAAGCAGAGGCAGGATCTTTCACTTCAAGACCAGCCTGGTTCACAGAGCAAGTTCCAGGACAGCAAGTGCCTCTACACAGAGAAACCCTGTCTTGTAAAAGAAACTTCCCATCAAAAATTCTCTGTTCTAGGCAAGGTAAAAGGTTCAGAAAGAAACAGTTGAGCTTATTACCTTCAGTGTGACTCAAACAAGCTCCTAGCAGGGCAATTTCAATCTCAACCCCATAAAGCCAGAGATATTTTTTTTACATATGATGCTACTAAAATGGCCAAATAGGGTTATGGAAGTTAAATTTTTTTTAAGAACTTTTATGTTATCTGATGAAAAGTAAGATTTACACTGAGTTCACGGGTAGCAATTTCAAGAGCCTTTATTTAAGCCAACATCAGATAGTGTCTCAAGTAAAATTCTATTTCAGCAAAACCAGGTAGCAATTCCAAATGTATAAAAACATTTAAAAATCAATCTGTTAAAGGTGATAACTTACCCCCTTCCCATGCCACCTACTATACTTCATTGCCATCAAATAAACAGGGAAGACTGTATTTAATCATTCGCACCCAAAAATTGGAAAGATTGCATTTTGACAAGTGGCAACTGTCAAAAAAATCACAACAAATCAGTATAATTATAGGCTTAATGTGGTATAACTAAGGCTTCCAACACTACAGTCCACAGACCCACCATCTTAGCATCTTCCATTGCTTTGACTTTTAGGGATAAAAAGGCACGGGGTGGGGCATCTTAGGCTACTGCAGGGATGCAGTACCTGGGGAAAAGAAATGGATGAGAATTAGGCAGCTAGCTCTGACTTGTTAGCCTACAAGAGGCAACTTCTCTGGTCTTGAGCTGGGCCCAGGGTGAGTGGAAGTGAAGCTGCAGCCACATCATGAAAAGCAGATCCAAGGCTTGCTGGCTTCAGCCTTTACTGTGCGGCACAGGAGACAATATTATGCTCTTCATGGTGGCCTCCTGAGGGCTTTCTGTCCTAAATAGACCCAAGTACAGGGCACACTGGGCGCCAACTTAAAAGCATTACCAGTGTTTAAAAATATACTTAAATATGATCAGGAAGAGATAGTTACTATTAACCAATGAGTACTTAAATTTGTTACAAAGAATGTATAAAGGAGAAAATGTGCCACAGCTCCTGTGTACACAGTCCTTACTTAGGCTTCAGGAAAAGCAGCAGTGGATGGCAACAGAGGATTCTGATACTCTAACTCAGGTCCTACTGAAACCCAATTTCTGATGCCAACCAGTAAGGCAGGCATCTACCACAACTTGACAGCACTACAGACCTGGTAAGACAGAAGCACGGAGAAGAACTCGGAGAAGCATTGTGTGCAACCTAATCACACTTAGTTCAGAGAGAAGAGAGATAACTGCTTCAAGTAGAAGGTACTTGAAATCCACACGTTCTTTCAGTACAAAGTGTTTATGGTGCAGGAAGAAAGGGTATGCTTAGGTTGGGCAGGCCAAAATAGTCAATTATTGGTTGTTCTACTTACACATAAAATAATTGCCAACCCCCCCACCCTCAGAAAACCTGGTTTTCCAGCATATATCTGTGCAAAACTCCCAGTTTAGCACAAATGACAGAAATTCTATCATATTAGCATGTGGCATAGTTCACATTTTCAATAAAACTTCATCTTCCCTGAAACAAGAGTCAATACAGGCTCAAGCCCAGTATTGCTGAGCTTTATCTTAGGCACTCCAACTCCTCTACCTGTGGGTGGTCATCTTCCAGATGCTGGGCCTTCTGCAGGGCTTCAGTCTGTCTGGCTGTGGGGGCAGGAGCCCTGGGGGCCTGCTCAGGGCTGTGGGCCTCTAGGTTGCTGTGTTCTAGCCCACTAGACAGCTGTTCCACCTTTTCGAGGTCTTCAATGTGGCTGACTGAGCTGGTCTCACTCATAGCATCTGAGCCTCTTAGGGACCTTTTAAACGGCTTCTGGCCTAGAGAGACAAGATGAACTACGCTGAGACTGGTGGGGAAATCCTGTAACAAAGGCACTGTGGTCCTACATGGTCACTGATTTGGCAGGAATGCTGGAATTCTGGCTTATATCTTAGAGGTGAGGTGGGAACTAAAGTGTGTGATGCTAAAATGCTCCCCAGGTCAGTGCTTCTGTGGTAACACTAATGGCAGTGAATAGCTCAGTTAAAGCAATGGTGCCATGGAAGCATTTCTTTGGAGCTAAATTTCAGGTGCCTGAATGGCTGTTTCAGTGAAGGAAACGGAATTTTGGATTAAAGAAAGGAACATAAGGAACAACAAATAGGAAACCTCAAGAGCCTGTATGTGTCTGTTTCCTAAGTGGAATAAAACTGGATTTCTTACTCTATTAATGAAGGGGAACTGTGGAGAGGTATAACTCACCTGGAAGTCTCTGTCTGCTTCGAGTGCCGGAGGGTGTGGGAGGCGGTGTTACTCCCGTTCCTTGTACTTTGTGGACATAAGTGTATTCTGTGGACTCCAGAGAGCCTATCCAAAAATGAAAAAAAGAAAGGAATGGCAGGAGCTCCCCGCACATCTATCCCTGAAATGTCTCTTGCCCTCAATTGCCTTTGTGTCTTAACCAGCCCTATCAGCCACTTAACTTCCAACTGAGTGAACTGGAGCAAACCCATCCTGCAGCTGCTCACATCTCTCCCTAAGCTCCTCAGCTCCTCCATCAATATGTGCAGTGTGCCGGGACCCACACCCAGCTGCAAAATGTGATTTAGCTTCAAGCAGATGCTACCGTTAAAGGCTGAGGTCTGAGGGATAAAATTTGAAACAAAGTTTTATAAAACCCTGATCCTCCAGCTTCATCTTCCTAAATGCTAGGATTCTATCTTTCTGCCACCATCCCAGGAAACTCTAATGATATCCTTGGCTATCATGAGAATCTAGCTAGTACTGTCTATAGAAGGAACAAAGAAAGGAACTCAAGTTTTGGGAGTATTTCTTTGATAGGACAGGAAAGGAGTCACAGCCGTTAGTATTTCCCAGCAAACTGACAACACTGCCAGTCACTGGTTTAAAATAAACACTGTGTGCTACAGTCTTTAGGTTCCCTTTCAGAAGGAGCCCTGTCCTGAACAGAATGCTCAGGAGGTCTGCAGGAAACAATAGTCCTTATGCCATTATCCATGGTGAACTGTCCCCAGATGTGGGCCAGCTGGACAGGCATGCCCTTGTTCCAAGGAAGAGCACTGTGCATGCTGTAGAGTGGCTGCTTGCTTTCTCGATGTTTCAGCAGGGACTAGGGGGCAGTAGGGGCAGACTGCCTCATTTCAGATTCCAGGCAGAGAATACAGGGAGGTATAAAAGCTTGAAGGGTACTAGGAGGTAAAGGCATTTGGTCAAAACTTTGAAATAACAGATCCAGGCATAAGCCAGTTGGAAGTCCTACCTGCTGTTAAGTTAAAACTTCTTCCCTTTTGTGAAGCTTGGACTGGAGAAAACCAATTCAGCACGGACCCTACTACAGGGATCTGCCGCAACACTCCCTGCAAAACATAACCCTGTTCAGGATAACCTGCTGGGCCTGTTCTGCCAGGATGCCAGCCTGGGAAACTCCAACAGTGACCCTACCTCTTCCAGAAGTCGTTCCTCATTTGCCTTCTGTAGTTGAACCTGGGCCTCCTGAATTCCCTTCCGAACTACTTCTGTCATGTTCTCTAGAAGCTACAAAACCAAGGAAGATACTGTTTGTATAAGCCTCTTGCCCAGGGCCTAGAACTACTTACACAATCAACAGCATGGTGACATTTTCCCACAAATATGTCTATAGATGTAATTCTGCACTGAAATACTTGAGCAAAAGTTAAATAGAAAATTAAACAGAAGATGATGAAAGTTCATGCAAGCCCAAGCACATATAACCTGTTGCCTGGCCTCATTTGCCAAAGGGAAATAATCATTTACATTCTGAATGTTTTATCAATGACAAGCAAGCACTGCTAAATGTTGAAAGAAATAAGTTATAGCCAAGCCTGGGAAAAACCCAAAGTCTAGCAACAGGGAACACAGCCAGGTCCTCTCCCCTTTTCAAACCTCTTCATCCCCTTCCTACCCCAAAGGGAACTGTGGCACATGCATCTCTGTCTGCTCTCGGGCAAGGGTGGGCTGGAGTCTGACCTCTAGCCCTGTAGCCTGGTCTTCCATGCTACCTGATCAACAGAGTAGTCTGTTCTCTGGTGGCATGGCCCTTATCAGGAAGGCCTGTGTTGTTTGTCCTTAGGACCCAGCTCCTTTTAGGAAGTCTCACCTCAGTGTACTGAAGATGTGAGCAAGTCCCCAAAAGCTCAGCTGCCTAAGCCACAGCATTTGCTACATTGCTTGGTTGTATATGGCTCTTCCCCTGTACTTCCTGGCGAAGTCACTGGGGGCAGCAACTGTGTCCAGGCCCCCTGGCCTGGCATAAGACCTAGCTCTCAGGAAAGCAATATTTGGGAAAGAATGAAGTGAACAGTATTCCCCAGTGTCATATCCCAAAACTAAGAAAAGGCATGGAACACAGATTCATCTTACAGACCCTTGAGTTTTCCTCAATTTCCCGGGCTGTGACTGCAATGGTCTCCACTAGTTCAGAAACATCCACATCATCACTTGCCATGCCAATGTAAATGCAGCTCTTCATGCTTTTGTACTCAGGACCTGGGGGAGGAAACAGGGCTAGGCTGGCTCCCAAGTCCTCAGGAGAGTGAGAGACCCAGACCAGTCTGTCCTGACTGAGACTGTATCCAATGGGCCTCCTCCCCAGGAAGAGGAGGATGCCTCTAAAAAAAGGAAAGGAAGGCTGAACAGCTGCAGAGGGAGTAAGACCTTACTTTGAGCTCCTCCCCTCTGTGACAATGAAAAGCATCTTCCTTAAGCCTGTTCAACATGGTCTTCTTAAAGTTCAGTGACTTAGAATAGTTCTTACCCATTTTAAATATGAGGTCAGATTCCAATTCATTTAACTTTTTCAGAAGTCCAGTGTGTATTTTCTCTCCCTCTGGATCAGATTTCAAACTGCTGTTATCATCATTAGCGTGCTCATACCTAAAACATCAAGAGCACAGTAACACATCTAAGATTGAGATTGAGCATCTATTCAGTCAGGGCTGTGGGTGCAGTATAAACTCCCAGAGATGGGCATAGATGTAGAGTCATCTTTCCATAATGTTATAAGCCTCAGTTTGTGGTCCAGGAAAATATGAGTCTGGCAGTCTTTTATTTACAAGGAAGAAGGAAAAATGAGAGGAAAGGAAGATGACCCAGAAGACTGTGAGGCCAGGACAGCTCTCTCCCTGGGAACCAGGCTTATTCTGAAAAGCTCTGTATATCCCTCCCATAGAGTAACCAACTGTCCACTATGTGTCTGCCCTGGGCACTTGTGAATTAGCACAAGTAGATGGCACACAGTGACCCCTGACTCACTGAGCCCAATGGTGGGCCAAACTATCAGTCTCCATTAGGTCTTTGTAAACACTACAGAACATCTCAGTGAGTTCTTAGCAAATATACTCTAATTCCACCTGAATATGTAACCATCAGGACCCACTTGTCTTTGTGAAAGTAGTCTTTCATGTAGCAAGCCAAATTACCTGACAACTCCGATTCCAGGCCAGTTGGGGTCATCAACATAGAGGAGGCTTGCTGCCCCCTCTACCTCCTGCCTGAACTCTTCTCGAAGCTGTAGTGTACAGGTCAGAACTGGCAGTTTGCTTTGAATACAGTTGATGAGTTGATCCACATCCTCTCCTCGAGTTCCTAACACTGAAAACATCCACAGAATGTTTGAGAAATGCTTGTAGAGGGACTTGGTGGTGGGGTAGGGGGAGTACATGAAAGGGAAACTCTCTTACTACCAACAAGATCAAGGGTCAAAGGTCAAAGCTCTTAGTATTACCTGGATTTTTTTTTTTTTTTTTTTTTTTTTTTTTTTTGAGACAGGATTTCTCTGTGTAGCCCTGACTGTCCTGGAACTCAGTCTGTGGACCAGGCTTTGAATTCAATTCAGAGATCCACCTGCCTCTGCCTCCTGAGTGTTGGGATTAAAGGGGTGTGCCATCACCCCTAGCTTGGGACTCATTCTGTAGCTGAGGCTGGCCTTTAGCTCATACAATCCTCCTGCCTCAATTTCTAAAGTGTTAGAATTATGAGCATGAGCTACTGTGCTTTTTTCTTTTCTTTTTCTCTTTTCTTTTCTTTTTTTTTTTTTTTTAAGTTGTTCCATGTAACTACAGAGCAATTAGTTTACAAAAACTAACACACTTGGGGCTGGGGCAATCATTCTCTTGTACAAGCATGAGGACCTGAGCTTGGATACCCTTGGATCCTAACACAAAAAGCTGTTTTGTCACAGTGTCATGGCATACACCTCTAATCACAGTACTAGGGAAGTGGAGACTAGAGGACTCTTAGAGCTCTCTGGCCAGCTCAGTAAGCTTCCAGGTTTAAGCAAGAGACTTTGTCCTAAAAATATAAGGTGGACAGAGATAAAAGGCCTGATGCCAACCTCTGGCTTCCACATGCACACATACATATACCACACACATAAACACAGTTTTAAAAATCAATTAACAAAAAGGACCCTAAGAGACATACACAGATCTGCCTAGGAAGGGGAAAAAGACAAGATCTCCTGAGTAAATTGATAACTTGGAGGGACAGAGAAGAAAAAAGGGAAGTGGGGAAAAATGTATAGCTCAATTTAAAAAAAAAATCAGGCTGACATGGCTCAGTGGTAAAGGTGATTGCCATCAAGCCTGGCAACCTAAGTTTGGTCTCCAGGATCCATAGGGTAGTAGGAGAGAACCAAGTCCCATGAGTCCTGAGTTTCACATGCATGTGTCCTTTCTACACAATAAAAAATAATGAACACATAAGAATTTAACTGTTGCTGCTCCAAGGGACACAACTGCTTTGTATATTTAATGCACCTAGAAGGAATTTCCTCACAGAAGGACTGACTCAGGTTACACGTATCCTGTCAAGGGTTGAAGCAAAAAGGCAGGTTCTTGATTTATATGTAGATATTAATGGAAGGGAATGTATTGGTGGGTTTGTATCTGGGACTTGAGGAAGAAGACAGGGAGAAAGTACCAGCACCACAGGAGATACACTGAGTCATGCAAGTCAGCATTAGCGGCTTCAAGAATTCAGAGGTGAGGGAATTTTGACAGTCTACCATCCCTCCTCCTTCGGGCTCACAGGTGTTGCCCAGATGTTCTCTGCCAGCCTCCAGCACTGTTTTCAGGGCTGGGGTGGAGGCCATCAGCAAGCTCCAAAATGGCCTTTTCTTTGCAGGGCAAATTTTCTTATTTTGATGGGATTGAGAAAATACCTTTGTAAAAATGTTGAATATCTCATGAAAAACCACCAAAAGTTTCTTAAATTGTTTTTAAATCTTATTATAAAAAAGCATAACCATTTCTTTTTAAGTTAACATATAAGAAAGGTGTGGCAGCTGGGAGGTGGTGGCAACACACCTTTAATCCCAGCACTTGGGAGGTAGAGGCAGGCAGATCTCAGTTTGAGGTCAGCTTGGTCTACAGAGGGAGTTCCAGGACAATCAGGGCTATACAGAGAAACTCTGTCTTAAAAAAAAGAAGAAGAAGAAGAAGAAAAGAAGAAGAAGAAGAAAAGAAGAAGAAGAAGAAGAAGAAGAAGAAGAAGAAAAGAAAGGTGTAGTGGCTCATACCCTACAGTACCCAGGAGACTGAGGCAGGAAGATCAAGTGTTTAAGGTCGGCCTGGGTTACACAGCAAGACCCTGTCTCTAATAAAATAAGGGTTAGTGAAATGGTACTATGAGTAAGTGCACTTGCTGATATGTATGACAACTGAGTTTGATTCCTAGAACTTACACAGTAAGAGGTAATTGACATCCCCAACACTGACCTTTAATTTCCATGTGTGATGTAGAGCACACATAGCATATGCACACGCATGTGCATGCGCATGAGCACACACACACCAAATACATACAAGACTTAAAAGTCAGGTATATACTAGGGGATGCACACCTTTAATTCCAGGACTTAGGAAGCAGAAGCAGGCAGATCTCTGTGAGTTCAAAGCCAATGTGGTTTACTCAGTGCCTCAGGCCTGTCAAAGGTACAAAGTGAGACCCTGTCTCCAAAGAAAAGGGACATATGAAAACTCTACATATTTACAGAGTACTGTGGGCTATGTTGACGCATGCATAGCATATGTGAATGGTCCAATCTGGGAAAATGGGGAAAGCCTGTCTCTCTTCAAATAGTTACCATTTCTCTGTAAGAAGACAATCGGAGGCTTTTCTAGTAGCTTTTTAGAGCATTACCACAAAACACTTTCTCCTGCCTACCTGTTATTTTATTAGTGACCGAGAGGGCATATCCCCACCTTCTGTTTTAACTTCATACACTTCAACTGCACTACTGTCTGCAATGTCTAAAACAGAGGTTCTACTCTATTAGTACCCAGGGTAACTGGGGATCCTCATTCACACCCCCAGTGTGAATGCCTAAGAACTTCTGGAGAATTGACTACACAAACTGTGCCCTTTCGCTGCAATTTGCCTTATCAATTTCTTTTCTTTTCTTTTTTCAACTGAGACAGTATTTCTCTGTCTAATAGAAATAGCCCTGGCTGTCCTGGAACTCACACTATAGACCATGCTGGCCTCGAACTCAAAGACCCACCTGCCTCTGCCTTTCAAGTAACTAGGATTAAAGGTGGGCACCACCACTTACATTTCTATCTTTAATTATGTGTATTAAAACGCATTGCAAGCTTAAATATATACTATTAAAAATGTAATTAAAAATAAATAAAGGCATGTCTAGGCTCCATTCCAGACATACAGTGTCAAAACTCTGGTGGTGGCCCAGCTGCTGAAAGGTTTGATTGTTTGGGGTGGAAGGAGCTCTGTTATTGAAAACATTTTATGTTTGATCATGATTTCCTCTCTCCCAATTCCTCCCAGATCTTTCACCTCCCGACATACACAACTTTGTTTCCTCTTTCAAAACAAAACAAACAAGAAACATATTGCCCCCTGCACCCAAAACCTAAAATTAAAACAAACAAAAGACCAATAAGGGAGGGGGAAAGCCAAAACAAAGCAGAAGGAAACAAAAAAGTGCACAAAAATACCACTGAGTTAGTTTTGTGTTGGCCAGCTACTCCCTGGCACTTTCCCTTGCCAGCGGGTATTTAATTGCAGACAGTGTTTTTGCTGGAGAGACAGGGGACAGGGATACCCTGTCCTCCTCCCTTCGTGGTGTGGGACCATATTAGCTTTGAACCTGTGTGGGCCTTGTATGTGTCACCAGTCTCTCTAAGTGCTGAAAGGTTTTAAAGCTACACAGGTTACTCAGATGTGCCCTTGAACACGAGAAGTAACCAAAATAGGAAACCAGGAGTCACAGGATATAAACACACAGAACTGAGTGCCTCCAGGTGTCTCACTTGAGAAGTTATGCTGACACCTAAATTTAGCCCAAAGAAAGGCTCATTCAAAGGGAGATGCTGCATACAGGAGAGCAGGAGGGCATAAGGGAGACCCATCATCTGACTGCTGGCCATCATCAGGCACAATGGAACTGTTTTTGCCCTAGCCACAGGGACAACGTTATAATTGCCTTACCTGCTGCTGTCATCAAAGGGCTGAACCGCAAACATGTGCCATCTACCTCCAAGTCCATGACAGTGAGGCCACACATAGGCACCAACTGTTTCAGTTGTTCGCCTAGCTGCAGGGAAAAGGACAGAGAATATTCCTGCAACAGGGGGCTTACATATCTTCACCACCCACCCTCATAACCTCACACAGACTAAAGTGGCTCCTGGAGCTAGTTTCCCTTATTCTCCAGGGCATCTTTCAATACTTCACAGCAATTTCTTATTTCCAGTCCTAAAAACAGACCTTGCCCAGGGGACATTGCCCCTCTCACCCCACCTTTCCCAATGAACAGTACATTTTATGTTATTCCAAATAAAAATTAACATGCAATACAGTTAAAACAAAGAATGAAATAAAAACGACTCACAACATACTATCTTAACACTGACTACTGACCTCTGATTATTTCCCAGGGTCTTTTCTTTGTTTTTGTAACAAAACTAGGCATTCTATACACTTTAGGAACCTACTCTTCTTCTGTGTATGCAAGCACGCATTTGTATGTATGCATGGATATGCAGAGGCCAGAGATCAATGTTGGGCTCTTCCTCAGTCATTCTCCACCTCCCTTTTTTTTTCCTTATTATAAATTTTCATTTAAATTAAAAACAATCTTATTTTGCATACCAATCTCAGTTCCATCTCCCTCCCATACTCCTATATCCCCCACCAACCTCCCATCCTAACCCCCACTCACTCCCCAGGAAGGGTGAGGCCTCCCATGGGAGATCATCACAGTCTGTCACATAATTTGGGGCAGGACCTAGGCCCTCCCCTGTGTATCTAGGTGGAGACAGTATTCCTCCATAGGGAATGAGCTCCCCAAAATCCATTCATGCACTAGGGACAAATACTGGTTCCACTGCCCAGGCCTCCCAATTGACACCCATATCCCGTCCTATGCTGGTTCCCCAGCTGTCAGACTAGGGTCCCTGAGCTCCCATTTGTTCAGGTCAGCTGTTTCTGTGGGTTTCTCCAGCCTGGTCTTGACCCCTTTGCTCATCACTCCTCCCTCTCTACAACTGGATTCTGGGAGTTCAGCTCAGTGCTTAGCTGTGGGTGTCTGCTTCCGCTTCCATCAGCTACTGGATGAGGGCTCTAGGATGGCATCTGAGGTAGTCACCAGGGAGATGGAACTGAGATTGGTATGTAAAATAAGATTGTTTTTAATTTAAATGAAAATTTATAATAAGGAAAAAAAAAAGGGAGGTGGAGAATGACTGAGGAAGAGCCAAGCATTGATCTCTGGCCTCTGCATATCCATGCATACATACAAATGCGTGCTTGCATACACAGAAGAAGAGTAGGTTCCTAAAGTGTATAGAATGCCTAGTTTTGTTACAAAAACAGTCTCATTATAGGGGAAAGCCATTTACGGTAGCCTCTCCACTATTGCTTAGATTCTTAGTTGGGGTCATCCTTTTGGATTCCTGAACATTTCCCTAGTGCCAGATTTCTCTTTAAACCTATAATGGCTCCCTCTATTAAGGTGTCTCTTTTCTTCCTCTCCTTTTCCTTCCTGATCCCTCACGTTCTTCTCCCTGCTCTTTCTGCTTCTCCCCTCCTCTTTCTGCTACCTCTTTCCACCCTGTGCTCCCAATTTGCTCAGGAAATCTTGTTCCTTTTCCCTTCTCCAGGGAACCATGTATGTCTCTCTTAGGGTCCTTCTTGTTTCCTAGCTTCTCTGGGATTGTGGATTATAGGTTGGTAATCCTTTGTTCTATGTCTAACATCCACTTCTGAGTGAGTACATACCATGTCTCCACCTTACTTTTTAAGACAGGGCTTCTCCTCACTTGAAACTGTAGCTTATCGATTTGTTTATACTGTCTGGCCAGTGAACCAGACGAACCACCTGTCTTTGCTCTCTAGTGTTGAACTGTAGGCATTCTGCAGTGTCAAGCTATTTCTTTAGATGGATGCTGGAGACTTAAACTGGGCTATTCATGCTTGCACTGCAAGTACTTTACAATACAGGGCCACCTACCTGCATTTTCCCCATCTAATTTGTGATGATCATTTTCCATCTTTCTAAAATATTTTTATAAGTGGTATACCATCATAGGGCTCTGATATCCATCTAGAGCCTCAGAAAGCAGAAGGAAAAAAGAAAAAAAGCACACAGTTCCTTTAAGAGGTGCTGCTGTATAGCCAGCAGCACTAAACAGAAACAGAAATGGCAAGCTAAGTAAAAAAGCCCCTTGCAGCAACTCAGGTATTGGCTTCCATAACTAGAACGACTTAATGCAGTTCTCAGTCATGAACCTCCCACCAGGATGCAAGCTCGCTTGTCTTTCAAGACTCAACCCCAGAGTGGGCAGAGCCAGCCTATAGAGCTGCTCATGGAGGATCCTGGTGTAGTAGCTTAACAGTTTAAAGTTTGCCCCTTAAGGTCAGAAAAGGCTAAAAGATAGGCAGTAAAAGGGGTCTAGATGGGGAAAGAAAAAAAATATCCTAATATCTAACAAGTTAGACTTCAAATCAAAATTAATCAAAAGAGATGAAGACGGTCATTTTGAATTCATCACAAGAGAAATCCATCAGCACAAAGTCTCAATTCTGAACATCTATGCCCCAAATACAAAGGCACCCACATTCGTAAAAGAAATGCTACTAAAACTCAAAGCTCACATAAAACCTCACACACTTATAGTGGGAGACTTCTACACGCCACTCTCACCACTAGACAGGACCACCTCTGAAACTTAACAAAGAAACAAAAGAACTAACAAAAGTTATGTCCCAATTGGGTTTAACAGACATCTATAGAACATTCCATCCAAACACAAAAGAATAAACCTTCTTCCCTGCTCCACATGGAACCTTCTCTAAATTCGACCACATACTAGGCGACATAACAAAACTCAACAAATACAAGAGAATTGGAATAGTTCCCTGTATCTTATCAGACCACCATGCTTTAAAATTGGAACTCAACAACAACACAAATCACCTACAAACTCATGGAAACTGAACAATGTGCAACTGCACCATTCCTGGGTCAAGGAAGAAATAAATAAAGAAATTAAGAACTTCCTAAAATTCAACAAGAATGAGGACACAACATACCAGAACTTATGGGACACCATGAAAGCAGTGTTACGAGGGAAGTCCACTGCACTAAGTGCCCATATGAAGAAAACGGAGCATAATCACATTAGAGAATTAACAGCACAACTGAAAGCCTTAGAACAAAAAGAAGCAAACTCACCCTGGAAGAGGAGATGCCAGGAAATAATCAATTTGAGGGCTGAAATCATTAAAATAGAAACGAGGAAAACAATACCAAAAAAAAAAAAAAAAAAAAAATCAATGCAACAAAGAGTTGTTTCTTTCAAGAAAATCAACAAGATAGGCAAACCTTTATCCAAACTAACGAAAAAACAGAGAGAGAACATGCAAATTAACAAAATCAGAAACAAAAAGGGGGAAATAACAATGGACACAGAGGAAATCCAGACAATTTTCAGGTCATACTTTGAAAACCTGTACTCCACAAAATTTGAAAATTCAAAGGAAATGGACAAATTTCTGGATAATTATCACCAAAATTAAATCAAGAACAGACAACTTAAATAGACCTATACCCCCAACGAAATAGAAGCAGTCATCAAAAGTCTTCCAACCAAAAAAGGCCCATGGTCAGATGGCTTCAGTGCAGAATTCTACCAGAAATTCAAGAGCTAATACCACATGATAGAAACAGAAAGTTCATTACCAAACTCTTTTTATGAGGCCACAATCACCTTGGTACCCAAGCCACACAAAGACACAAATAAGAAAGAAAACTACAGACCAATATCCCTGATGAACATTGATGCAAAAATACTCAATAAAATACTGGCAAACCAAATCCAAGAATACATCAGAGAAATCATCCACCATGACCAAGCAGACTTCATCCCTGGATTGCAGGGATGGTTTAATACGAAAATCTATTAACGTGATCCACCATACAAACAAACTGAAAAAGAAAAACCACATGATCACCTCCCTAGATGCTGAAAAAGCCTTTGACAAAATTCAACACCCTTTCATGATAAAGGTCTTGGAGAGATCAGGGAGAACAGGAACATACCTAAACATAATAAGAGCAATATACAGTAAACCAACTGCCAACATCAAACTGAATGGAGAGAAGCTTAAGGTGATTCCTCTAAATTCAGGAACAAGACAAGGCTGCCCTCTCCATATCTCTTCAATATTGACTTTGAAGTTCTAACTAAAGCAATAAGACAAAAAAGGAGATCAAGGGGATCCAAATAGGAAAGGAAGAAGTCAAACTTTCTCTATTTGCAGATGATATGATAGTTTACATAAGCAACCCAAAAAACTCTACCAGGAACTCCTACAGCTGATAAACACCTTCAGCAAACTAGCAGGATACAAGATAAACTCAAAAAAAAATCAGTAGCCCTACTTTTTTCAGATGACAAAGAGACAGAGAAAGAAATCAAGAGAAACATCACCCTTACAATAGCCACAAGCAACATAAAGTATCTTGGTGTAATGCTTACCAAACAAGTAAAAGACCTATATAATAAGAACTTTGTGGCTCTAAAGAAAAAAAATGGAAAGCTCTCCCATGCTCTTGGATAGGTAGAATAAACAGTAAAAATGGCAATCTTGCCAAAACCAATCTATAGATTCAATGCAATCCCCATTAAAAATCACAGGACAATTCTTCACTGACCCTGACTATACTCAAAAACAAAAGACCCAGGATAGCCAAAATAACACTGTACAATAAAAGAACTTTAGGAGGCATCACCATCCCCGACTTTAAGCTCTACTACAGAGCTATCGTCCTGAAAACAGCTTGGTATTGGCACAAAAATAGACAAGTAGACCAATGGAATCAAAACGAAAATCCTGATATTAACCCACACACCTACGAACACCTGATTTTTGACAAAACAGCTAAAAGTATACAATGGGGGTAGGAAAGCATCTTCAACAAATGATGCTGGCACAATTGGATGATGATGTGTAGAAGACTGCAAATAGACCCATGTCTATCGCCACGGACAAAACTCAAATCCAAATAGATCAAAGACCTGAACATAAATC